GGGGCTTGCTGTGGCCTCAGGTCTTTAATTCCTACAGCAGAGTCTGGAGGAGATTTGCAGCTAAAATCTCCTGTTATCTGATTAGTGAGTGACTCCTCAGAGGAGGATCAGGGACGGAGACAGGCTCCGCCCACCACCCTCACTTTCCTCCGTCCTGTTGGTCCGCACGTGAACTGCACTCTGAACATTTTCACATTTATCTCTGTCAAAACGACTTTTCAAAATAAAAGCCTCCAGTTCTGACACCGATCACAGTGATGACATCAGAGGCCACGGCTCCGAGGAGCTCCGTCCAATCAGGGACCTCCTCAGACCATCCTGGTCAGAGCCCAGACCCCAGTCCAGGACCTGAAGGTTCTGAGGTTTCGTTCTTTCACTCGAGAACGTGACAGAGTTTGGAGTAAAGAGGCAGAACCTGAAGGAGAATCGTGTTCCACAGCAGGACAAAAACCAAACTCCCTTTTCTCCTGAGGTGAGGAGCTGAGAGGAGGAGAAAGACTCACCGTTTCCTGCTCTTCTCTGCTCCTGCTGATCCTTCCCAGACTCCTCTGCTCCTCTGGGCTTCAACGGTCCACAGTGGGAGGTGAAGGTTCTCCTGTCTCCTGTGTTCCTTCTCTGCGAGCGTCTCCTTCCTTCCTCAGCCAAGAGCAGATGAGGATTGGAGGAGATGAAGGAGATCAGGGAGCGAGGGATAAAGATCAGAGATGGAAATAGAGAGAGGAGAGACGGGGGAGGGAGGAGGCAGGGGGAGGCGCAGGTAAACGGATTGGTGGGAGAAAATCAGGTTATGAGGTCAAAAGACAAGAGCGGAAGAAATGGAGGAAGGAGGAGAAAGGAAGTGGCAGGAGGAGGTGAAAACACCGGAGGAGGAAGAGGAGGAGGAGGAGAAAGTTGAATAAAGAAACGAAGTCGGTTTGATTCTGGTTCAGTTCTAATAAAATGATTTAAAAACAAAAAGACATTTGACCTGAGAGGACATGGACACACCGCCCCCTGGAGGTCACACGGTGGAGGAGTGGTCAGTGATCCTGTCTTACACAGAACAGTCATGTCCTCCCTGACCCAACTCCACCTGGGAGGAGGTTCTGGGTGAACTCCATCTGGGCCACAGGTCCCAGACCTGGTCCAGAAAGACCTGGTCTGGACCCGGTCTGGCTGCTGATTCTTGGATTGGATTTTCTGGTCTGGGTTCTAGTGGGAATGTCTTTGGAGCAGGCTGTTCTGGACTTGGTTCTGGTTCTGGTCACTGGTCTCTGAGGTGGTCACAGAGAACTGGTCAGTAGGAGCTAATGAGCTGAGCCCAGTTAATCAGGCCTTAATGAGATATCCGGGGACGACCAATCTCGTTAGGGTATTAGAGCGGGTCAGGATGAACCTGCGTCACACACACACACACACACACACACACACACCAGGTCCAGATCACAGGTGGATCAGGAATCAAACCTGCAGCCAGTTCTTCTGCCACAGTCGCAACTGCAGGAACGTCATTGAAACACTGTAAATATTTGACAACGATGACATCATCACTGAGCAGCGGGCGTAACCAATGAGCAAATTTCACTGTCAGACAGAAAACACTCACAGACCAAAGTCCATGGAGAAAATCAGAGATTTTAGTTCAGACCAAAGTCCATGGAGAAAATCAGAGATTTTAGTTCAGACCAAAGTCCATGGAGAAAATCAGAGATTTTAGTTCAGACCAAAGTCCATGGAGAAAATCAGAGATTTTAGTTCAGACCAAAGTCCATGGAGAAAATCAGAGATTTTAGTTCAGACCAAAGTCCATGGAGAAAATCAGAGATTTTAGTTCAGACCAAAGTCCATGGAGAAAATCAGAGATTTTAGTTCAGACCAAAGTCCATGGAGAAAATCAGAGATTTTAGTTCAGACCAAAGTCCATGGAGAAAATCAGCAGTCGTTGACCAACTGAGTTCAAATGTGTTATTTTGTGTCTTTACTGTTGTCACTGATTCTCTCTAAGGACTTTTGTCTGTCCTTGTGGACTTTAACTTTAATTGTATGTTGTCTTCTTATTGGCTGAACACTGGTCAGGTCATAAGAGACCTGGACCTCCTCCTTCCTCCTCCTGGTAGTGATCTGGGTCTAATCTCGTCTCTGTAATCCAGGTTAATGAAGTGTGACAGCAGAGGGCGACGTAACTTCCTAGAAACCAGATTTGGAGGTAAAAGTTTGGAGGTCAGGATTCTGGATGATTCTTGTCAGAGAAAGTACCGTGATACTAACATTACCACAATTATTACTCAGTTCTCAACATGAGAATGTTAAAAGGACAACAACGCTGCAGGTTGGTCTGACCTGTCCTTGAATGTCCTCCATGAGACGGACTCACACTTTAGGATCAGTAAAGTCTTTGTTCTACTGCTCCGTGTACTCTGTACTACTGTTCCGTGTACTGTACTCTGTACTACTGTGTGTACTCTGTACTACTGTTCCGTGTACTCTGTACTACTGTTCCGTGTACTCTGTACTACTGTTCCGTGTACTCTGTACTACTGTTCCGTGTACTTGTGAATTCCTCTTTTTTTAAGTGTGAATTCTCGGCTGATGATGTGATTGGTTAAAAACTCAGGAGGAAAAGCAGTTTTTGGAGAAGTGGAGAGAAATAAAGGAGTTCAGACCCAGTGAGTGCAGACGATACGTCCCTGGAGAGTCTTCAACCAAAACAAAGACGTTTGAAGACAAATTTGAAGCTTTTTTTAATTTCATCACATTTTTCATTATTAGCACGGCAGATCACATGACCACAGTCAGATTTATAACTAAATCACAGTAATGCAGTAAATATGTAAGAAAGAAGATAGTTAACAACCAACACTTCCACACCAAACCTCATGGAGAAAATCAGAGATTTTAGTTCAGACCAAAGACCATGGAGAAAATCAGAGATTTTAGATTTTTTGAGTCACCAAGTAATTCGTTAGAACTGTGAGATGAGGCGGCAGTGGATCAACAACTCCTGAGTTTCTAAAGAGCTAAAATCACTGGTTTTCTTTCTGAGGTTTGGGTAAACATGATGAACCACTGGGGTTCCGACGCCTCACAGTGACCCGTCCACAGGGGCTCCGGTGCTGGCGCTGGCGTTTGGCTCCTTCTCACAGATGAAGGGCAGCTGCATGAGACAGGGGGCGTCGTACCAGCTACGAATGGGCACTCTGGTCAGAACCTCGGTTTTGACGATGTAGCCACAGTCTTCGTTGATGTGGTTGTTGGGTTCCCCCACCTCCCAGAACCTTAGAACAGGTGAGGACACAGAGGACATGGACGATCACAACGCTTGGTCAGGAAATATTATCATGGGGAACAAAATGTTCATTTTTCTTGTGAAAAACATCTGCCAAAAAGAGGAAGAAAAAAGAGGAAAAACAGGAAGTGAGTCGTCAATAACCAGTTCCTAAATGTCAACTTTTCACCGTCTTAGAGACAACGTCTGCAAAAATATGTCCAAACAACTGCTTGAATCTTGACCTCGGCTCCAGTTTGTTGTGGACTCACTCACCCCCCCACCACCGGTCGTCCACACTCACCCCCCCACCACCGGTCGTCCGTCCACCCACTTCCACTCATTCTCTGTCTCGCCGTCAGTGATTCCGAACCAGTAGGAATTCCAGTGACCTCTGGGCAGAAGATTCCAGAGGAACGTCTGAGAGGAGGAGACACAACGATTGATCGGTTGATCAATCGATCGGTTGATCGGTTGATCAACCGATCGACTGATTGGTTGGTTGATGCGAGCTGTCATCTACCTGCTCCTCTGCTGTGTGGATGATGGCCAGGTGTCCTCCCTGGTTCTGACAGAACCCCTGACTCCGGGACCAGGTCTTGGACAGTGTTGAGATCAAGTAACAGCTGTTGTTGAAAAGGTGCCATTCAGTGGGGCAGACCACAGGGGGCGCTGTCTTCCGTTCAGGAGCTGTGTGTGAACAAGTGACACATGTACAGGAACGATTCCATGAGAAGATGATTCTAGAGCCTGCCCCCGGTGGACGGTGGCGGCACCGACACCTCTCACCTCTAGTTGGCGTCTTGACGCTGAGCTTGAGCAGCAGCTCCTCCTTCTCCTGCTGCAGAGTGTGGATGGTGTCCATCAGCACCGACACGTTGGCCTCCTGCGTCTGTTTCTGCCTCTCCAAACTGACTGCAGCGCCCCCCTCAGGTTTGATTCTATCTATAGTAAAGAGGAATCAACATCATCATTCATCATCTTCATCTGCATCATGGTCATCATCTTCATCATCTTCATCTTCCTCATGTTCATCATCTTCATCTTCATCATGTTCATCATCTTCATCTTCATCATGTTCATCATCTTCATCTGCATCATGGTCATCATCTTCATCATTGTACTCACTCTGTGCAGCCACAGCAATGATGGTCATCAGCAGGATGACGCACAGCGCCCCCAGACAGATGGTGGCCAGACGATAAAACCCAGGTGTGCGTCCCCTGAGGGGCCAGAGGCCGTCAGAGGTGAAGGTCGGAACTGGTCGAAGACAAAAACAAGAATGTGAGGTTCAACAGGAGGCACACAACCCCCTAGGGACACCACAGTGGAACTACACTCAGTATTTGATTTCAACACAAATTTGTCTCGACGCCAAAGAGCAGTGAACAAGAGAAAGAGGTGGGGGGGGGGGGGGGGGGACCCGGGTGTAACTCACCACTGCTGCTCCTCACGTCTGTGCTGCTCCTCACGTCTGTGCTGCTCCTCACGTCTGTGCTGCTTCTCACGTCTTCTTCGTCTTCGTCCATCAGCTGAGAGTAAAAGTCGGCGCCGGACGTCATGGTGGAGGAGAAGTTCTCCAGAGAAGATCCTCAGACTGTCCACCAACTCTGAGGCAACATCAGATATTTACCCCTGCCCCTCCCCCTGACCGGCCCCCAGCCACATGTATCTGGACAGTTTCAAAATAAAAGCCTGAAAATCAGCAGCAAAGTGTGAAGTATGAGGATCATATATACATATATGTGTACACACACACACACACACACACATATATGTGTGTGTGTGTGTGATTATCTATTTCTGACTGATCAGCTCATTAATCATAAAAACCTTCAGTAAAACGTAAACGTTGGATGTTGAAGCTGTTTCTAAAGTCCACGATCTGAAGATTAGGATTCAATCAAGTTTTAACGTTAACAAATGTGAAGTTGTCGACTGCGATCGAACCCTGCGTCGTTCAAATCACACTGCCTTGAATGTTGTTGTGTTTTTACCTTTTTTCTAGAATAATCTCCATCTTCTGTTCATCAGTAAAGGTGTCATTAACTAGTCATTAACTAGTCATTAACTAACCTGGTTGACTTCTCTGCTGCTCAAACTATCTATGGTTTTCACTGCATTTTGATTAAAGTTTTTTCTTTTGTTAACGTCAAACAGGAAGTCATCAGCAAATTGTCCTCCAATCCAATCCAACTCCAGTACTACTACACTAGTACACACTGAGGGGGCGTAGCAGCGCCCACTAGTGGAGCAGCGTGCTGACCTCAGTGACCACTCCAGGGTCCCAGTGTTTTAGAACCACATCTGTTTCTTCAACACTCGTTTCCTCTGACGGAACATGTTTTATCGTCATGGTGATAAATGAGCAGAACAAACCACAGCAGCAGCGCCATCTTCAGGTCAGTCTTCACAGTCAGAGCCTGTGACAAACATGCTTTTATTGTGAAAGATCTTACAGTGAAGTTAAAGGAGCTCAATTCAAACATCTTTCTCCGATTTCTGCTGCTCCCTGGTTTCCTCCCCCACCTCCTCCTCCTCCTCCTCCTCCTCCTCCTCCTCCTTCTCCTCC